GGGGGAATAATGATATAAATGTTTTTAAGGTCATTAAAAGCTTTTCCTGCATCACAAAGTAACTTAAAAGTTTATTCTATATTTGTTGTAGACCAGAGTTATCTTTTGTACGTTAACTGTCCAGCTGGTAAGGACATGACAGCTGTTTCGTGAAGACTTCTGCTTTCTGGGAAAGTTCCTGTTCTAGCCTGTCGAAGCATCCTCTCTGAACAAAATACTTTATTTATTTTCAGTGAAATACTTTTGAACCTTTCAGATGAATTTTAATTTAAACCAAAATTGACTTCTGATAAAATCTGACAAGTTGTTTGGAAAAGAAGGGGAAAATGCACGTGTAAAAATTTTATTTTTGAGGTTTCACTGGGGTTTTAATATGAATTTTTACCTGTATGTCATTATTATAAGGTTGATTTTTAGTTTTGCTTTAAGTATATAGCTTGTGGTCTGATTATTTGGTAGTATAAAAACAAATTGGCAAATGTTAAAAAGAAAGTTAACGTTGTACTTTGGGTTGTTTTTATGTATTTACTTATAGTACACAAACATGAACAGGTTACTGTATTTCTTTCTTGAGACTGTAAAATCCAAATTTGTTTCTCTCTTTCTCTATTTTTTTTTCAGCTGCAGAAAGAATGATTCAGAGAGGAGAAGAAAATTCACTTAGTCAACATTTCGATCTAGCTCATTGCCTGTGGCTTGTTGGTAAGTTCAAGTACTCTATAAAAAAAAATATCTTTGTTTTGGTTTCTAACTTTTAGAGTACTGGTAAGTAGGCCAAGCTCAACCACACAGTGTTTCTTTTAAAGTGTTATTTCACACATATTAGAGCATTTACTTGCTTAAAGCTTTGTAAATAGTTTCAGACATTTGTAAACTACTGTACCTTAATAAATAATACATATACCACACACTGTGTTGTTTGCAGGCGCATCAATCCTTTTTACAACTCATTTATTTATTGTCTTAAAGAAATATTTTTAATGCATTTTTTAATTTACTGTGTATCTAAAACTTCCTGTATACTAGAGATGGAAATTGTAAGAATCCCAAGGTTCTTCTAGTTTGAGAAAGAGTGAAAATGTATAATTCAGACCAGTATTTTCCAATACTTCTTTCTCATTGGTTCTACCAAGATTGTCATAGCTTAGGTCATCTCTAATTGGATCTACCAAGATTGTCACAGTTTATGTAATCTCTCATTGGATCTACCAAGATTGTTCTGGTTTACATAATCTCTCATTGGTTTTACCAAGATTGTCATAGTTTACGTCATCTCTAATTGGTTTTACCAAGATTGTCATAGTTTACGTCATCTGTAATTGGATCTACCAAGGCTGTCTTAGTTTGGGAAATGATTCAGGCCAGGATTTCCTAATACTTCTCTCTCATTGGTTCTACCAAAATTGTCCTAGTTTACATAATCTTTCATTGGATCTACCAAGATTGTCCTAATTTACATAATCTCTCATTGGTTCTACCAAGATTGTCATAGTTTACATAATCTCTCATTGGATCTACCAAAACTGTCCTGGTTTGGGAAATGATTCAGGCCAGGATTTCCTAATACTTCTCTCTCATTCTGATTGTTCTGGTTTACATAATCTCTTATTGGATCTACCAAGATTGCCCTAGTATACGTAATCTCTCATTGGATCTACCAAGATTGTTCTGGTTTACATAATCTGTCATCGGATCTACCAAGATTGTCACAGTTTATGTAATCTCTCATTGGATCTACCAAGATTGTCCTAGTTTACATAATCCCTCATTGGTTTTACCAAGATTGTCATAGTTTACATAATCCCTCATTGGTTTTACCAAGATTGTCATAGTTTACGTCATCTCTCACTGAATCTACCAAGACTTTCCTAGTTTGGGAAATGATTCAGGCCAGGATTTCCTAATACTTCTCTCTCATTCTGATTGTTCTGGTTTACATAATCTCTTATTGGATCTACCAACATTGGCCTAGTATGCGTAATCCCTCATTGGATCTACCAACATTGCCCTAGTATACGTAATCTCTCATTGGATCTACCAAGATTGTTCTGGTTTACATAATCTGTCACCGGATCTACCAAGATTGCCTTAGTTTATGTAATCTCTCACTGAATCTACCAAGATTGTCTTAGTTTATGTAATCTCTCACTGAATCTACCAAGATTGTCTTAGTTTATGTAATCTCTCACTGAATCTACCAAGACTTTCCTAGTTTGGGAAATCATACAGGCCAGTATTTCTTAATGCTTCTTTCTCTGCTTGTGGTAACACTGATGACCACACTTATAAACTATCAGTTTGTGTTTCTTGTTCCCGTACTTTAAACTTTTATTAAGGTTAGCAAGTTCTGAATGGATTAGAAGTGTTGTTTTTTTTTGCTTCATAAATACAATGAATAATTCAGATAATCTGTTTTTGCTTTTAGCCAATCTCATTTTGCAAAGTAAGACTTTCTTTAAATGAATCTTCCAGAAAACTTATAAACTTTCTATTTTGTTTTCAGTGACTAAACTCAATTTTAACAATTTTTACTCAACTCCTTGTTACAAATATTCACTATTTTTAGATTAATTGGTTTAGGTTTTAGGATGTTGACACTTTTTTTTTGGAAATGACTTCTTTTTAGTCTAATATTGATGTGAATCTGACCTTACAGTTTACAGTTAAGCAGAAGATAAATAATTCATTAAATAGGATTAGATTTTCAACTTTTCAGAGTTGAGTCTTCAGTTGACACGTCAAATGCAACGTATTTTAGCAGCAAATTATCGCCTTACTCGGCTTCATCTAAATGCTACCACCTCTCGAGCATCATCCAGCACCACCAACGCAACATCTAATACAACAACCTCACTACTTAGAGAGAATGACCCTTCAACTAGCCAATTTCCCATAAATGAAAGATGGCCTGATTCAAGTCTTAGCAATAGGGAACAGTTAGGTCGGGATGATTCTCACTTATCAGATATTGATCTTCAACAGCCATCTAGTTCAGAACCTTCTAGCAGTGATGAACACGGTATTAATAGAAGTAGTCCTCCCCCTTATTCTTTCACTGTAAATAGTGTAAATGAAACTGCAGCTAATGTTGGAGAAAGTGTTATATGGGAACGATTACCAAATCCTTTTTCTGGCATTGGTGAAATTGGACAGACTGGCTGGTCATGGCATGAAACATCCCCTTTCGTTCGCCAGAGACCACGAACAACCAGTACCAGAGATACTGGCACGGATCCTCCTCGTGAAAGAAATGCTTTAGAACAAATTTCACCAGAAAACCTTTCTTCATTACTTGAGGAGATTCCAACTGTTTCAGGAAGTACAGATCATGATGGTGATAACAGTGTTTCAAATCAAAATCCCAGAGGTATGGAAGAGAACAGAGATTCAAGACCATGGTCAAATATTTTCTTGACAGAGTTAGGATTAACCCCAGGTCAGCAACAGAGACAACAGGCAGAGAGGCCTTCATCTCTTGCTTTAGACACTAATGTACAAAGTGATAGTGATTCTAACAGCAGTAGTGGGGATAACGTATCCCAGAGAAACTCCACTTCAGGAGGTAGACCACCAAGAAGTCTGACAAGTGATGACTTGGGTATGACAAGATTCAGACTTATGAGAAGGCCTAGTTTTCGAATTCCAAGAGTAAGAGTTGAACCTACACTATCACCGCCAGAAGAAGAAGCTCCACTGGCTCCAGAGGAGAGACCACGTTCACCGCCTCTTTCGACCATTCTGTCGGCAAATGTTGCAGGTCGACGGCCACGCTGGGCCTCTTCACAGAATTCTTACTTCCTTCCCGATTCAAGCTTTAGACCTCTTCCACCAAGAATAAGTAAGTACTTTTACAATTTATTCACTTGAGGGAAATTGTGTATTATATGTCAAACCATAAAGTAAAACAAAAACAAAAATCATTGGAAAAGGGACTTTGTTTCAGATCTGATTTTATTAAACAAGAAACGTACATCACCTAATTTTGTTTCAGTTTGTTCATTACAGCTTGATTTGTTTTTACTTGGTTATTTGTTTTAAATATTTTACACTTAAATACGGTATTATCTAATGAATCTGTTTTAGTTTAATTCCATATTTTTTACTTCAAAACTGGTTTCTTTATTTCGAAAATTATTTTTTGACTCATCCAGAAATAACAGTTAACTTGTTTTATTTTTTACATTGTTAATGATTACCAATATCTGTTATTTTTCTCCTTGAATTTTTGTATGAAATTAAGTTATTATTTCAGCAGTTATAATTGTTGTGAGTGGTACATAAGGTCACGTCATCTGAACTTACTCATGAACCAAATTGGATTACTGGAAAAAGTGAATGAAAAACATTTTTCAATTTATTGTAATTATTATTATTATTATTACTATGATTAGGTAATGTAGAACTTAATGTCATGTGTTTCTCAATTTTATTGGTAAGTAGTTTAAAGTTGAAGTAACAGACCTTGATGATTAGGTAATGTAGAACTTAATGTCATGTGTTTCTCAATTGTATTGGTAAGTAGTTTAAAGTTAAGTAACAGGCCTTGATGATTAGGTAATGTAGAACTTAATGTCATGTGTTTCTCAATTGTATTGGTAAGTAGTTTAAAGTTGAAGTAATAGGCCTTGATGATTAGGTAATGTAGAACTTAATGTCATGTGTTTCTCAATTGTATTGGTAAGTAGTTTAAAGTTTAAGTAACAGGACTTGATGAAAACTGTTAGGTCGTACCTTGGAAAACTGTTTATGAAATAATTAATGGTATTTTTTGTAATGTACATTACGGTCATACTTTCTCTGTTAATTAATATAAAATATTGAGTAACACACGTGATACTAGTAAAATTGTGTATTGCACTTTACATTTTTAATTTAATAATGTATTTCCACACTTGTACAACATATGGGTTTATTGAGTAGGCAATGGTAAGCCTAAAATCATAAACGAAACGTGTAGAGTCGTCAACTTTTTGAAGGGCATAGATAGGCCTAAATAAAATGTTTTTAATTGTGTACCAGTTTAACGTTGAATATTATTTATGATTTTAACTTTATACACAAGTGCCAAAATACTATAATAATGGTAAGCCTGTTTCAAATTATAGTGTTTTTTGCATATAATCAAATCATACGAAAACAGAATGTCTAATGATCTTACCAGTGTCATTAAAGAAAATGAATACACTGCTTATTCCAACATTTCACAAGAACATTAAGACCTCACACTAATGCAGCGATAATTCCAAAGTAAGTTTAACATTTAAATGTAAAATTGCAACAACAGTCATATGTTGTATCTGATACCACTTGCGCAACTGTGTTGTTGCAAAATTGAATGTCTACCAGTCAATATGTTATTCACACTACTTATAGTCAGCATGTTGCTCACTATGTTTACAGTCAGCATGTTATTCACACTATACTTTCATGAATCAACCCACTTCAGTAAGTTGGAAACTTGAGATAACAACTTTTGTGAAATAACTTTAATATTAAATTATCATAAAATCTGACTTGTCCTGTGATGTTTATACCGTATTAGCTTTCACAAAGGAATATTATCACAGAACTATTTCAATAACCAATGAGATTGACTTTTATGAAAGATATTGAGACATCATATTTAAAGAATAAAAAAAAACGTTTAAAATACAAACTGCTTGTCAAATGATTTGGTATGTGGTGTTTCTTGCTAATAGCTGATTGCTGCAAATTGTCAGACTGGTGACACATTGATGTTTATACAAGGTTTCATTGAGGGACTAGATTATCTGGATTATGGTACCTTTCACTGCAGTGAAACCCTTCTATGATATTGGTCAAACCACAGATAAATATTTTGAACTTTCATCATTATTTTTAAACATAATAGGTAAAAAATGTAATGTTAATTTACTTTGAAACAAAACTGATTGATATGCTGTGCTGGTAGGTTTTTTCAGCATTGATTTGTGTTAGATAATTCACAAACAGTGTTAAAGTAAGTAGCTACACACAATATATATATATATATATATATGTTTAATTCTTTCAAAGGCTTAAGGCCATATAGTTGCCACCAGATTGTATAAATTTTTATAAAGCTCCCAAAAAGGATGTATAGATGAAAGTATAAGATAATGCCAATTATGTTCTTTTCTGATTGAGTTCTCCAAAAACCACTTAGTTCAATTTTTAAAATTTTGTTGCCTTTTCTGCCAATTAAAAGTTTAAAACACACAGAAACGTTTCTTGCAGACGAAGATTTAGTATACAAGTTTAAAGTTATTGCTTATTATTAGATTATGTACATTGAAATCATGATTTGATTTTATTAACATATGTTTAACCAAATGATTCCCCTTTCGTTCAGGAGCCTTTCTTGGTATTCATAATGAGCCCGGTCATAATCTAACTCATCGTATCCAGTGGTGGGACTTTTCCAAGTTTGATATTCCAGATATAAGTGATGGTAAGTATGTATTGATTTTTTTTCTTGCAAATAGGCACGTTAGGAACCATTATTGCATACTTTCGGGTTCACTAAGCCTAGAACATTAAAATGATGGTACAGTTGAGTTATCATGAACCTCCCTTAAAATTTTGAACTCCTTTTACTTAGAAATATGTAGTATAAGATGCTTTTATTTAGGTATAAAAAGTTAATTTTTTTATATGTAGTTTATCGTAAAACTTGTATTCCAAGTTTAAATACATAATGCTTATCACACACATCACTGTAAAGCTTATGATATTACTTAAAGAAATGAAATAAAAAAACCAGAATTATTCATTTGAAAACAGCATAAAATGTTATCAGTGATTATTGTTTTTAGAATCATTTTTTCTCTAAGAAAAGAAAAATATTCCTACAACATTGATATCAAAGATGAATTAACAAGTTAGTTTTGGATATGTTTACAGTAGCTCTGAATGAAACGAATAAGTTTTTTTTTTGTTGTTGTTGTTTTTTGGCAGCAGGGTGTATTAAGATCAGGACCCACAGAGAGTAGACATTGTTTTTGATAACTTTTTGATATTACATATGTTTTGTTATATCATTTGTTTATAGTTCTGCAATTGTCAGTGGCATTACATTTGTAGTATGGCTTAATATGTTGTGGGCTTACATATATACACACACAACATAGGGGAGAATATCCTTCTTTCAATTTTATCCAAATTACCTTCACTGAACTTAGATTTTTTTTATTAGAATGTGGCCTCTTTGTTTAATCTGCTTATACCTCCTTCTAAGGATTATTATGTTATTATGAAGTTTAATTGAATAATTCTTTAGCTCTGAAGATGTACCTAAATCAGAGATGGACATTATTTCTGTTATTGACAGAACAACTTGCAAATAAAATAGCAATAATTCTGTTATCGACAGAATAGCTCCCAAGAATAGATGTTATTTCTATTATTGACAGAAGAACTCCTCTGTAGAATAAATATTATTTCTGTTATTGACAGAACAACTCGCAAATAAAGGAGCAATAATTCTGTTATCGACAGAATAACTCCCAAGAATAGATGTTATTTCTGTTATCGACAGAAGAACTCCTCCGTAGAATAAATATTATTTCTGTTATTGACAGAATAATTCCCAAATAAAGGAGCAATAATTCTGTTATTGACAGAACAACTCTGCTGTAGAATGGATGTTATTTCTGTTATTGACAGGATTACTCCTAAATAAGGGGGCAATGTTATTTCTGTTATTGACAGAAGAACTTCTCCATATAGATTTTTTATGTAAAAACTCCAAAGAAATTTTACTCAACTATTTGAACATGTTATGATGGTAACAGACATGTAGTTTAATACTCTAACCCTATTAAGATATCATATTTTACAAATTGTAGGGAAACGTATACTGTAAGTTAAGAGGTCTAGAATAAATTACCTTTTTCTACTAGCCACGTTGATGATCTAATTTTTCTGTTTGTAATCCTATAAGTACCAATGAAGTGTACCCCTTCAGCTTTATAAAAACATATTTTTAAATTATTTATGCACCATATTGTTGGTTTTAGGGTTACTAATAACATATGAGGTGGCGTATAAAAAAATAAAATAAAAACACCATTAGTAATTGAACTTACTAATTACTGCCGGGAACCTCTACATATCTTAAACAGAAAAGTGAATGATTTTATGGAGTTTTTGGCTGTTTTTTTTTTATTTTTAACTCTCAAGTCTTTATTGTTCAGGCAGAAAGATAAAATTTCTCAACATGATACAATATGTGGATCCTATCAGTACTGAACAGTATAAAAACATGTCAGCAGTGTGTGGGGTAATATTCTGGAAAACATATATCTGGGTTTTACAATGTCTATAGTTGTGAAATTTTTTCTTCTAACCCTATTTAATATATATAGTTTGGGTTTTTAATATTTTGTGGGATTTATCTTGTAAACAAGAGATCTAGAACAGTAAAACTGTATTCTAACCCTATTTAGGATATATTTCACGGTTTTTAATATTTTATAGGATTTATC